AAAACATGTGATGTTAGCAACAACTATATACAGGGTTAAACCATTGGTGGCTTTGGGCTGTTTTCTGCTCTTTGGTCGGTTTGTTGTCTCTTTGACACATTCCCCATTTCCATTCTCAATTTTATAAAAATCTGATATTCACAGTTACATCATAAACTCCCACACACAGACCAAGAAGGTGTCGGTTAAAGGGACTTGGAAGGCACTTTCGTGTGTTAATTCCAGTCAACAGTTGTTCTAGGGATGAAGCTGTATTTATTGGTATCCCTTGATTTTCTGACCCTGGCAAACCTTGCTGTCTCTGTGATATTGCCTTGTTGTTACTGTTGGTCTCTTGATATAATATGGAATGGTAAATGATGCTTCTCCATGCAAGATAGCATACAGGAGCATGGCTCTTTTTCTGCGTTTTACTAAGGTTGGGCAACCAAGTGTCTGAAGGATGTTGGTTATAGTTTCTGCTTCCCGGGAATAAATAGCTGTTACAAAGCCGGTAGCTCTTGAACTTCGTTGTATCATTTCAATTTGGTTAATGTCGCACTTCTTATTTGGGTCCAATTGTGCATATGCATACTTTGGGGTGTGTCGCACTAACGATATCTAACTCTCTTTTATATCTTGTCGATATTTGTTTAAATTCCTCCTTAGAAATCCTAGTGTTCGATTAGCTTTTGATGTTACTTTAGATAATTTTCCCAATTCATTTGCTTTGACAGCTCTAAACCGAGGTATGGGTAGAGCTGAACAGTTTCCAGAAAATGCCCAATAATGTTGTAGTTGTAAACAACAGGGTTACGTTTTTGGTCACCCTAAGGATGAAACATTTTGCTGAATTGAATGTCATTTGCCAGCGTCAGGCCCATTCTACAAGTTGCACAAAATCTTCTTGTAGCTGTAGGCGTGTCTCTGAGTTGTGGACGGTTCTGTACAGGAGGGAGTCGTCAGCAAACAGTCGTAAAATGGTACACGGTGATATAAAATCGCCTATGTCGTTGATGTACAACAGGAAACATTGGGTTCCTAGAACCGTTCTCTTGGGTACACCGGAACGTACTGATTTCATTTCACTCATTTCGCCATCTACACATTTATTGATTTCGTTGGGTTAGCCAAGCAATGATCCAACTGAGTACACTTCCTCTGATACTATAGTATCTCATCCTCTTTAAAATCTGCTGGTTCGGGACTGCCTTCGAAAAATAAAAGACAAGCATACCTACTTGTTTTCTCATATGCAATGACCGCGCGATTGATTCTATGGTGTTTCACAGGCGTGACGATGTTGTCTAAAACCATGTTGATAGTCCATTAAAATGTTGTATTTTTCCAAATGGTAAATTACATGACGGTAGATGATTAGGCTTCCTCCACCAATAAAAACTGACCACGACGAAATAGCGACCTCAATAGCACAATCGTACTGAAAGTGGCGTTAATCACCAATCAGTCAATCAATCTTTTGTTTTATCTTTATTGCAATTGTTTAATATACTAATCATTGTACTGATAATCGTATTGCCTACAATAGGTATTCTATTGACAATAAAATAATTTATCTTATCACGGTATGTGATAAATGGTGATATTTTCTTATTTTGCCATGGCGTTGTCAGTTTATTTTCGAATTATGAGTTTAATTGAAAGTCCCTTTGGAATCTTTCGCATCTCGTTTGGTCTACTGCTCAGTCCTATGAGAATTCTACTGTTGGTATTGAATCCGGCCTTTTGGTGTGTTAAGCTTTTTAACAAAAGATTGTTTATCCAATTTTCCTTTGCTCTTAGTTTGTCATTGTCTTGGGTGTTGTTGTTCACAAGGGATGGCATATTGTATAGCAGCTTTCCAACTACTATTACATCACTTCCTGAGCTGTTCTCCAATGTTGATATATTGGCTGTGTTTTGTTTCATAGACTTGATTAATTGTCAGAATTTCTATCCCATGGTAGCCTTCTTTTTCTGATCTTCATCGGCACTGTCATTGTTTAATATACCCCTGATGTATCTATCGTGGGCCTCTGTCATGGTCTGCTTGACAATATCGCTAGCTGTTCTGTAGTCTTTCAAATTTTCTGGTGTATCAGTGCTTGATTTTAAAGAAGAAATTAAGAGACATAAATAGTGCCGAGACTGAGTCGGAGCCAGGGGCGTTTCCATGATATTTGAAAGAAGGGGCGTATAAAACAATCTTTCGGACCTTTTTTTGGCTAAAAAACATAAAATAATTGTGAAGTGCACTAATGTAACGGTTCCTGACTTGGAGCATGTATATTTTATAGTTAAAGTGTCAGGGTTTGATATTTTTATGCCGAATTCTCTCCATTAATTGTCTATGGTATATTAAAATGATTGCCGGATCTTAACAGCAGTAGACCAATAACGAGAAATTACAAATTCTAGGGTATAGGGCGTTACTTTACATTTCAATAGTCCTTGGCCAGGATTTTATGAACGGGAGGCGTAATTCCGGTTGCCCTGGTATAGGGTCCATGGGGAAGGTCAGAAGCTCCTGGATTTCAACAATTTAGCATGCATCAAATTATGAAGTATTATAACAGACTCCATGATAGACAAATTGTTGAAAATAGTCTGCCTTCGGATCATTCAAATTATGTATTGATTAACATGTGGATATCAAATCTTTGGAAGAAGTTGTAAATTCAGTTAAAAGGTTATATGAAATGGGCATGAAAAATCAAAAATAAATCTTTAACGATAGCTTTTTTCTGAACTTTTGATATATATATATATACCCGTTTTGTTAAAATATACCTTTTCACTGTTTTGGTCTTTTGGAAAATGTTGTTTGTGCTGTATTTAGACCCCTTTACCAAGAAATTTGTTTTGCATGCACACGTATAAAAATTGCGGTTTTTATCCAACGCAATCATAGGTTTGAACGTTGTTTTTAATTTAGTATAGATATAAAAAGATGTGGTATGAGTGCAATGAGACGGCAACTCTCCATTCAAGTCACAATTTATCATTGAAAAGTACACCATTATAGGTCAAAGTACGGTCTTCAACACGGAGCCTTGGCTCACACCGAACAGCAAGCTATAAAAGGCCCCCAAAATTACTTGTGTAAAACCATTCAAACGGGAAAACCAACGGTCTAATCTATATAAAAAACGAGAAACGAGAGACACTTATGAACCACATCAACAAACGACAATTAACTACTGAACATCAGATTCCTGACTTAGGACAGATGCAAACAGTTGCAGCGGGTTTAAACGTTTTAATGGTACCAAACATTCACCCTTATCTGAAACAATAGTGTAACATTGTATTTATAATACCCCGTTCTAGATAGTCAAATCTGACCCTTTCCAATGCAAGCCAAAAAAAACATTACCCCATTTCAGACAATTTAGCTGAAAATGCAACCCCGTTTGTCAGAACATACCCGGTATCATATATATATATAGCGAGTATCCCCCGGGTAGATGTAGTGAATGGCCATTGGGGAAGTGTCACACAAAACAACCATTTCATGTATAGATTTACTTACCGTTTTGGTTGTTTAAAAACTGAGGTGTCCAAGTCACCCATCGGATGGGGGAATCAGTATAAAAAGAAACCAGAGTATGTGTTTAATTAATGAATATGCCATATTCAATACAATATTAGCAGATTACGATAGTTTTTTTTTTTTTTTTTTTTTTTAAGTACGCCCATTACGCCCTTAATTACCTGGGTAACAAGACATTTCGGCACCCAGACAAATCGGCACCCAGGTCCGAAGACATTTCGGCATCCGTTTTGGACATTTCGGGACCAGGACATTTCGGGACCAAGACAATTCGGCACCTTATTTTTTTTTCTATATATATATATTAAGAAAAATAAAAGAATTATTACAGAAATATAAAAATCCGTAAATAAAACATGTGAAATATGCATTACAAAATTTGAAAAAATAATCGTCTTTTTTTAATTAAATCCTAAACGATGGTGTTTGAATAAACATCATTAAATTTTAATTAAATCCTAATTGATTGTTAAATATGATGGTGTTTGAATAAACATCATTTAATTAAATCATAATTAATTGTAGTTATGCATTAATCAGTATTTTATGTAAGTTTATAATGAAATTTGATAATTTCTCAATGGAGATCAGAAGTGTATAGACTGTGGGACCAGTATTGTAGCAACAGCATCTCCACCTCCAGACTGCTAAAGGAATGTGCCAGTGTGTACGGACCACCACCAAAGTGACTTTGTTAAAACTTATAGTGCTGCAATACAGTCTTCACAAATAAACAACAAAAACAATAAACCACTTCATAAGATACTTCATCTAAGATACCATATACAATAATGTGTCTTTCTCGGGTGCCGATTTGTCTGGGTACCGAACTGTCTAGAATTCAATTACCTGGACCCGCCCGCGGCCCTGGGAGCCTGGAAGTTATTCATAAAAAATTCTTGAGAGCTGGATTACTAAATGTTATATCAGAGACATATATATATATACATAAAAAACTAAAACAACACGTTATAAATTTCATGCGTCCAAAGCGCTTTTCTGGATTTACCTTCAACAGGAACGCTCAATGCCAAATATGTGCTACGGTATATATATGTCTGTAGTCTCAGTCGAGAGATAGAAAAAACACAATGTATCAAAAAAGGGTAAATAGACAGAGAAAACAAGAGCAAAAAGGTTGATGTTCTTAAAAGCTTATCGAACCCTTGGAGAATGTTTTTTTTTAATAAATTATGAAATACATTATTGAAATTCGCGCCTTTTGTATATCTTACTCCCCACACAAAAATATAGGATACAGCGACATCTAGGAAAGGAATGTGGCTGTAAATTTACGGGCGGTAATTTCACCAAAACAGTCCAAAATGCCGTAAAGACGCTTTTTATTAATACTTGTCAATGAAACTTAGATGTTTATTCAATATTGCATCGAGACTAATAAAGATCTGCACTACCCTTTGTGGGAAGTTCTTTAATTTTGCAAGGTGCTTGTCAACAAGTTTCTGTGACGTCATAAGGCAATATGGCGGAAACAGAACTAAATGTTGACAGTCTGATCTCTCGGCTATTAGAGGGTAAAGAAGTTGATAATTTAATTAGGGCACTTCATAAAAATCAAAGTATCTTTAAACTGGCTGAAAAAAGTTATGATTGAAGATGTATGAGAAGAATGATCAAATTGAAAACTGGTTTCAAAACTTAGGAGTTCCCGTCTTCCGTCAGTTTCACGAGTTTGACAGTTGCAATCAACTAACGTCATACATATTCTATTGTTTGAAAAAACGTGAACCACCTGAAAGCATGTTGGAAGCCAGGTTTGACACAGAAGCTGATTAGGCCCTGACACGAGTTTGAAATAATAAGTTTACAAAAAAGGGGAAGAGGGACTATGATTTACTGCTGTACTGTAAATATGTACCCCTTTGAAGGTTGTACTATGCATATATGTTTAGTATTGCACATATTTCGAAACTGAAACCTTAAACTTTATGGATTGCTCCAGGAACTCGTATTAGATGAGCATGTGTTTATAAGTCATGTAAGAAGGGCACCTTCAATAGAGCACTTTTCGAGTTATGGTCTTCACTGGAAAAGTTCATCAATTATGCACCCCTTTATGACGTCATTTACCAGATAGAGGGGACAGCCTGTATCCCTGCACTATTAAAGTTCATCAAGCGTCTTCATGATCGTCATTATGCAGGATAAACTAGAAATAATGTTTGTTCCATAGGTACTTAATCACAATTCCCTAATGACAGCAGTGCTGATTATCAATTATAAGAATTTAATTTGCTGAATAATTCATGCAATATAGAATCATATTTTTTCATATTGCTCAACATGGGAAGGAAGTGACGATGCCCCTAAACATACGAGTGATGTTCACTAAAACCTAAGTTTTTGACAGAAATGCAATGTACTCGAAAGTGGTCTTTTGTGTCAATAGACCTTATTGTCCTTTCCTTCGCCTATATCACACTGCTCAGTCACTACGTAAATCTGGTATCACTACTTTGAGACCAGACATTATCGTTGATGTCACAATGACATGAGGAGAAGTTATCAGTGATGTCACAATGTGTGATGAGACGTTGTCAAGCTTTAAACAGTGTAAGGGAGAGGAAATGATCAGTTATAGAACGATAGATAGAATATCAGACTTTCTACCAAAAGACATTGTAAAATACATCAGCTCAACACAATGTGAAGCTTTTTTGCTCGTTTGCTGCACTCGCCAGCCAAAACGGTTCTATATTGTAGAAAACCTAATAATCTATACTTAATGCTACTTGATGGGCATTACTGGATGTGGACATCATACTCCTTCCTGTAAAATTTTAACATTACAAGAAAAATGTTTTTGACACCACAAAAAAAAACTCACTGTAAAATGAACGGCTATACTTCCAAGTGTAAAACATTCTCAGGTCAATTGTTGCTGATTAAATATGGATGGAATCAAATCGGAATAAAAATCATGCTGAAGTACAAAAGCAGGAAGCTGATATTGCAAGTTACAGTTTAAAAATGATTAAGAAAATAAAGAATTAAATCAACACTTTATAAATTTTCATGCGTCTGAAGCCCTTTTCTAGATTTACCTACACTATGAACGCTCAAAGCCAAATATTTGATAGCCAAAGATGTATTAGAACTGAAACAGTTGAACAGCTATTTGACCTAAAAGGAACTAAAGTAATAGCCAATTAATAAAAACAAGTCATGATAGTTAAATATGAAAATGGTTGTTCAAATTATTTTACCAAGGTCTGATATTTTCTACTTTGATTATAATTTGAAAATAGATATACACTGTATTACATCATATCTAATTTTAGAGAACTATTAATCATATCTAATGTTTTTTTTCATCATGCTTATAAGATATTGATTGATAATTGGTATATAGTTTTATCATCACAAGTTACAGATCAAGTTCAAATTTTTGTTTCTATAGGATTAAACACATTTTTTCTAGAGGTTATTGATGTGTAAACCGGGGCGATTAACTCACAAACTGAATAAAAGTCCGAAGGACTTTTATGTTAAGTTTGTGAGTAAGAGCCCCGGTTTACACATCAATAACCTCTAGAAAAAATGTGTTTAATCCTTATAATTCTTCAGTCAAACATTCGCGATTTTTAGTTAAGATTTTTTGTTTGATGGCTACTACATCAATTGCACATGTCGTAACTAAGGAGTTAGTCGCCATATTGAATTTCTAATATCCGTAAATGTTCGATAAATGCAACAGAATTTAAAATGAAATAGCACCTACCTCAAAAACTGCATTTTAATGAGATATTATCCGAATTTGAAGCGTACAAGTAACGAAATAATCTTTCGCTTGAAAGTTTTCATTTGTATGACGTCGTGTTTTGCCATGACGTAAATGCGCTAAATCATTCATGAAATTTCGCGGAATTTTTCATGAATTTTAATTTTATGCATTTTCAGAGCTTTAATGCAATATTTTTTTTTTGTTACATACGCATTAAAATAGAAAAAAACTGTTATGTTTTTGTTTTTCAATCTCAATTTACTGAAAATCCCGGACTCCCTGCATATGCATGTGTATCGCACATGAATAGATGGTACGAAAGTAGTTTCGGAAACATGGTTTATCGAAGTGTAAACCAAGGTTAAAAATTCTAATTAACCAATCCGTTTCAAGTATTTATAGATATGCAAATCATATAAGAATTATAGTTTAATAATTTTGTGCAGAGTTATGGTCCTTGGACTTGAAAAATTCACTCATATAATCAGTTTTCCACACTGTTTTTAGTCATGCCTGAAGATATTGACATGATATTTTTACTTTTTGTTTACACCATGACAAGTTATAAAACAAGTTAGCATTTTGTTCCAGTATAATGAATTTTTACCCAGTAGGGGACTATGTATTGCCATGCAATACTCTCAGAATGCTTGTTAAACATTGTTTTTGAATTTTATTGCAAAACATGTTATACTTCTGTCAGTGTCAAGTGTTATGTTACATCATACACATATCTATAAATTGTTAATTTGTAACGTTCTTATTTTCTTTTAAGTCAGAGGATGTCGACCAGGAAAGACAGTTCATATGACAGAGGCTGAAGTTAGGGGACTTTGCCTGAAATCAAGAGAAATCTTTCTTAGTCAGCCCATACTGCTAGAACTTGAAGCACCTCTTAAAATATGTGGTAAGAAAATAAAAATAATTTAGTATCATTCTGAACACTATGTTTTCTAACTGTTACGAAACAATCCCATTAGTGAATTGACAAATGAAAATTTAAATTGGCTATTTTCTATTAAAAAGATTGAAATATGGTGTCATTCTGTACTTTCATGGTCCATCACTTCGAACTGTGTATCACACAGCTTATTTGGTCCCTGCCTTTCCCAATCACTGCCAAATTGATTTAGACAGCTGTATTGTAAGTCTGTATTCTTTCAGTGTTGGCATTTTACATTGTATGTCATTGTAATAAGGAGAATTTGGAGGTGTGCAGACTTACAAAGTAATTTTTTAGACATTTGAAAATCAAGCACCAGGTTAACACATTTTATCTCCAAATGCATGATTAAGTCCAGCTGACAAGACACTGAATAACCCTAGTCATTACTCATTCATGCATGACACTTAAATACCAGGCTTAAATTTTTCCAGAATTTCAGCAGGCCTAAAGAAAATTGGACAAGTGTTTGCATACATGTAGTACAAACCGATAAACTGATACCATAATTTAGCAGTTGTTTTCAATTTAGACTTGTTTATATATATATATATATATATATATATTGTAATTACAAAAATTCATTACTGACACTTATCTCCTGTTTGAGGGTTAAATGTAAAATATCAAAGACAAATGTACAATTTATATACTGGAATTTATTATTATTATTATTATTTTGTTCACTGAGCACTTTAAATCGTTTTGGAAATTGAGGCTATTCTCTACAGTCAAATGTTTATGATAAAATTTCATATTTCTAGGCTTGTGCCATGTAAAACTATCATATGCTCAGTGTAATGCACTAATTTGATACATTTTGTATTTTATAGGAGATATTCACGGACAGTACACAGATTTATTACGGTTGTTTGAATATGGAGGATTTCCACCAGAATCAAATTACCTCTTTCTAGGAGACTACGTAGACAGAGGCAAACAGTCACTGGAAACAATTTGTTTACTTCTTGCATATAAAATCAAATACCCAGAGAACTTTTTTCTATTACGAGGAAACCATGAATGTGCTAGTATAAACAGAATATATGGCTTTTATGATGAATGTAAGACTTGGTTTGCTATTAGACTGTATAGAAAAATGCATGATTATAATTACTTTATTACTAGTAAGTCGTTGCTAAGGTTCAGAAAACACATTTATGGGAGATTTATTACTTTGATACCACTTGACCGTGGAACTCAGATTGGTGATAATAACATAATCTGCACTTACAAATGTATATGACTGAAATGGAAAAAATTTACCAACTAACACACCCTACTTTTTATATCATAATCAGCTGATAATACATAATAGAAAAACAAAGGATATGGCATATCCATCCATGACACAAAATCAGTACATGCACAGAAAAAAAACCCACACACAATAAGCAAAGGAACAGGGCTTTTATTGCTGTTCTTCATCTCAAAGTCACAGTGAGGCCTTCAACACTGAGCAAAGAAAAACATACACATTTAATTTTAAACTTGCATCTCACTAATGTTCGGTCCATGTATAACCTCAACAGTTCACCAATACACATCATTGATAGATGTATGATTTAGGAATAAAAGATAGTTACAAATTTCAGAACTGGGGTTGAAAGTAAGCAGACATTCAATTTGATTTATTTATGACCTAGTAATATGATTTTAGGTAAAAGAAGATTCACAGTAAAGTTATGGAAAACCTTCACAGATTGTTTTAATTGCTTACCAATTGCTGCTATTATAGATGAAAAAATATTTTGTTGTCATGGAGGTATGTTTTGGATAAATATAGGACTGATGATATGTTTGAAACATGTATAAGGGCTGTTTCAGAAGTAATTCGAGGGGTTAGTCATGGACACTCACAATTTGAGTAAAATGCAGATCCTGTGTCCTATTCCTAAAAGGGTCTGACAACACTCTGTTCTACTTTCTGTTATGAAGACCTTTCAGGATTCTATGTTTTTTTTTGTACACTTTCAAAAATTTGAAGGCTGAAATTTCATTTGCTGATTTAATAATTCCCAGTACAGAAAGTAGAACAGAGTGTTGTCATATAGATCCTTGTAAGTGATGACACATGATTTGTATTTTCAATCAGATTGATTTAATTCTGTTTTATTATTAAAGCTGTTGTGAAAAAATACAGCCACCAATCAATTCATAATTTAAGTGCCTCTCAACCCCCTAATATAGTCAGTTATTGAACAACCCTATGTGAGAATAAATATTTTTTTTGATTTTTGACAAATCTTCAGACTCCATATTTCAATAATGATAAGGAAATTTTAGTTTACAGATTTTTTTTACTTGAAAAATTCTTTAGTTAATTGATGGTACTTATTTTGTGGAATTCACAGGAAGTACTAAACTGTTATAAAAAAAAGTACAATGGTATTTAATCTATTCTTCCATCTCAATTTTTTACAGATGATACTGTAAATTCTGTTTTTTAATTATTGCGAAAAATTACAGTTTCACAAAAATGAAAACTCACATTTTAGTTTTTGATAGTATTATTTATATGAAACATTTCCTGAAATTGAAATATCAAAACTAATGTCACATTTTTGTCCATTGTACAACAGTTGCAATAATAAATGCATGCAAAAATTTCTTAATGTACAGGAAGTACTATCTTTCTATAGATGTGGAATTAAAATACAGCATTTTGTATGGAAACAATTGTAGCATTATGTCATCCACACTGTTGTTCTAAAAGTAAAAGTTTTAATTAATTCAGTCATGCCTAAGGTCGCCGGACATCAGGCAAATGCCAGTCAAAATTGGTTTGGTCCTGTAAGGTGATATGCATTCCTGGACCAAATGACCAGTAACATTTTTTGTTTTGTCCAAATCATATGTGTAAATGTCCTGTAAAAAAAAGAGTTGGTCCACTTAAAAAGAATGGTTTACTGGACCAAATTTCCAGTTGATTTCTCAAAGCCTTGGGAACAACTGTTAATTGAGATGTTTATAAACCAAATAAATTGTGTATTGCTTGAGATGAAAAATCCTTTGAAACATCATACACCACATGGGTTTAAAAATATTTACCATTGATTTTTGTAGCACACACCTTAAAACTTAATTTTATGATAGAAAAAGTGCATGTTTGTGACATTTAAAATGTGTTGTATTTTTTAGGACTTTCACCAGATTTACAGTCAATGGAACAAATCAGACGTATTATGAGACCAACAGATGTACCAGATACAGGTAGATAAATTTAAGAACATTTAATTAATCTATTTAACAAATCTATTGACATCAATTTCTAAATGCTAATATACAAGCCATATAAAACATTGTTATATCTTTTTAAACGTTAGAATGAGGGCTTTCAGAAAATGTGAATATTAGCTTAGGCTTGATGACACAGTTTGACCAGTCCATCATTAAGATGATGCACAAGGAAGATTTGTTAGATTATAAGAAAAATAGGGTAATTTCAGAAACATACAGAACATTTGTTTCTAAAAAGGATAATAGAACAATAAAGAACCACAAAACATGCTTTTTGTGTTCATATCTTTTTTAGTTTTGCCTGAAGGTTTTTCTTATTTTATTAGTTTAAAAGTCAAAATTTGTGTAATTTTACCATAATACAGAATTTAATGTGATTTCATTGCTTTAGAAAGGAAATTTTTAAATTAAAACTTTAATGTTTTAAGGTACAAATCTGCAAAGGTCCCTAATCATATACAAAATATGAACTCGATGATATGCATTTGATAAATAGGAGATATATACAGATAACTTAAAAGAAACTGTGTGTTGTCTTTGACAGGTTTATTGTGTGATTTATTGTGGTCAGACCCAGATAAAGATGTCCAGGGATGGGGAGAGAATGATAGAGGTGTGTCGTTTACATTTGGTGGTGATGTTGTTAGTAAATTCCTCAACAGACATGACTTAGATCTTATATGCAGAGCGCATCAGGTAAGTTATTTATTGAAGTTACATTCCAAGAAAGTAGTTTCCCTTGAAGTGATATGAAACCCTTTTGTGATTAGGTAGCTAAAAGAATTTATAGAAATTTACAACTGTATGGGTAAATCCTCTGTCTATTTTTGTCTTGTCTTTGAAGAAAGTCGCATAATTTGTAAACTTTTTGTAAAAAGCTTTTAAATTTCAGGGGGAAGAAGACTTGGATGCTTCATATAAAAATAAGAAGATGTGGTATGATTGTCAATGAGACAACTTTCAACCAGAGACCAAATGACGTAGAAGTGAACAACTGAAGGTCACCATACAGCTTTCAACAATGAGCAAAACCCATACTGCATAGTAAGCTATAAAAGGCCCTGAAATGACAAATGTGAAACAATTGAGACAAGAAAACTAAAGACATGATTAATGTTCAAAACAATAAATGAAAAACAAATATGTTAAACCGCAACAAACAACAACCCCTGAATTACAGTCTCCTAACACAGACAGGCACCTACAGATTGTGGCTGGGTTAAACATGTTTGCTGGCGCATACCTTGTATAGAAATGCGTTATGTAACAAAGTTTCCATAAGGTCATATGTCTATTGTCCTTGACCTTGTTGAATGGTTCAGTGACTAGTATTAATCATACATAAGAATCTGTGATCAGTAGAAACATTATATTGTATTTTAGGTAGTAGAAGATGGTTATGAGTTTTTTGCCAAGAGACAATTAGTAACATTATTCTCAGCACCTAATTACTGTGGAGAGTTTGATAATGCAGGAGGCATGATGTCAGTAGATGAAACATTGATGTGCTCATTTCAGGTAATGCTTAAGATGAATAGGTTCTAAGAAGTTCTGGGTTATTTGTGAAGGGGAGAAATCATGTTTTTTAACTGAACTGAAGCCTTCTTGAATATCAAATGTCACAAGTAAATAATACAATTGAAAACAAATTTGCATTGCCTCTTATTTGGTTACTCTTTCAGCAGATGAAATGTTGTCTTGTAAGAAAAGGGGCCTAGGGCAATGATGATGGATGGCAAAAAAAATGTTAGGTGTTCTCATATGTTTTTATACGACCGCAAAAATTTTTGCGGTCGTATATTTGTATCATGTCATCATCGGCGTCATCCTAAGACATTTGGTTTCCGAACAATAACTTTAGTTTAAGTGTATGGATCTCTATGAAATTTAACCAAAAGGTTCAATATCACCACAAAAGGAAGGTTGGGATTGTTTTTGGGGGTGATGGTCCCAACCCTTTAGGAATTAGAGGCCAAAACAAGCATTTTTTTAGTTTCAGGACAATAACTTGTGTATAAGTATTTTGATTGCTCTGAAATTGTACCACAAGGTTCAATACCACAATTTTTTTTCCTCAAAAGAAAATTCTCTTCAAATATTTTCTTTTTTGGGGGGGTCAATTTCAAAGATTTAAGAAATTGTCAATTTTCCAAAGAAAAAAATTGGGGGTCACAATTTATTTTGCTAATTCTTTGTATATAGTCTGAAAACAGATTTACTAAGTATTGCGCAACAGCACAGTGTATTGTACAACAGCAAGAAATCTTCAATTGAATATAAATTCAAATCATACAACCAATTTCAAGTTCTTTGGCTACATTTATTCTGTGTCAGAAACCTATAATGTGTCAAATATCTAATTACAATCCAAATTCAGACCTGTATCAAGCTTGAATATTGTGTCCAGTTTGCCCCAACTGTTCAGGGTTGGACCTCTGCGGTCTTATCCAGCTGCGCTCGGCGAAGCAGTTTATTGGAAAATTTATTCAGGGATCACCTGTTAAAAATCATCACAAAAACAGTTTTGCTTTGTTTACAAAGTATTCTGAACTTTGTTTAAGATAATATTCTTTCATCATGTTGAAGGTAGTGCACTTTTGTCAAGGCTGTTTATTATTTGAAAATGCAAGTCTTGGGCTAAAATTTGCTCATGCACCAGAAAAATTAACTTCCATGGCTAACTTGAAATTCCTTTTTTTTGCTTAAATAATGAGATATTAGAATTGTTTTATACATTGCTATGAGAATTTCTTTCTTTCTATGTATTTCTATGATGAGGCTGATGTTTTCATTTTAGATTCTGAAACCCTCTGAAAAGAAGGCAAAATATCAATACGGAGGATTAAATTCGGGTAGACCTGTAACGCCGCCAAGAGGGCCTCAAGCTCAGAAGAAGAAATGACAGGAACATTGACTTACGAGAAGATTGCAGCTTGCTTATGACAGAGACATGTATTAACATATCACATTACACAGCTTGTTAACCAAACTAAGTTGGGCAGATAAAGGAAATCCAACCATTCATTGTCTATGCATCCCTTTACTAAACAATTGCTGACCAGTTAATGCTTTATTTTATTGTAGAGGAAAAATTAGTGAAAAAAGAATTCATTTGGGCATTTCATTTTTAAGTTTCAGGTTTTCTTCAATGGTTTCTGTCTGTCTGATTAAGTCAAGTTTTGGTTATGATCTTTTTAATTAGGAACACTATATATATATACATATGTTTTTCAAATGATCTGAATTGTAATAGATATTATTTTTTTATATTTAATTGTTAGTGGTGATCTAATACTTTTCCTGAATGAACCAAACAGCAGGTTGAGAATAGCTCATCAGACACTGGTTTTTCTGCCGAAGGACTAATTCACATGTGTTTGATGTTAGGTCTGACAATTCAGACTTCAGTGCACATAGAAAACCATTGACTAACTTCAATTTAATGTTTGAGAACTCTGTTTACATGTTGAGTTTATCATTTATGTTTACAATAACATTTTATGTTAAGTCATTAATTTTTTTTCATACCCTAGAGTTTGATTTTGCATGTGTAATTAATTTGGTACATAAATGCAGTGAAGAAATATTGCATTATTGAGTCAGTGCCCCAGGCAAAAGTATATAGAAGGCGCTGTGCCTTGCAACTGAAATTTTGCACCTTTTTAATGATAAGGTAAAAACCAACTTTTCTTCCTTCATCGTCGCCATCTACTTGGGTTCATAAAACACACACTTAATCATTAAATATGACACTTGCTACCTATTTATAATCACCTATGAATTAGTCATCACTTGCTCAGGTGAAATTTACGACCCTCTCTTATCCTTGTGCTCTAAAGCATATTGATAACAAAAGATTTTCTAACTTGTACCGATTAAATAATAACATTTTTAGTAATATAACATAAATGTCAAATAAATCCATTTTTTTTTCTTGTGAATGTGCTAAAGCGCCCTTTATAAATACACCCCTTTATTTTAAATCCTAGCTGGAACACTTGATTTATGTCTGCTCCAAGTACATTTTATAGATAAATACTAAGATTAAGATTAACATTGTTTGTGTGAACACAATTTAACTATAAGACTGTTAATTTTTGTGGCAGTTTGATTTTTAAAGGATATGTAATTATTTTTAGCCCGCTGAGTGTTCAGGAGTGTGATTTTTGTTTGATTTTCATTTGATTCAGTTCAATGTTGTACATTTTGCAATTTTGAGAAGGATGATCACAAAATAAAATTGGTAACTACAAACAATGCAAACAAATTGTGTTACAAATTTTGTGAATTTTATATTTTGATTATCTTTCCTGAAGGTCATCAAGTATATTTTGTTTATCTCTTCGTATCATTCAATTTGTATAGTTTGTAATATTGTATGTTACAACCAGAAACACCCTCTGTTTATTTACATATTAATCATTTGTTTATTTTTGGGGCTGTTACATGATAAAGCTCATTGGAATGTAGGAATACAAATACGATGATTAAGGATTTTATTTGTGAGTCACCAATCAGATAATTTAAAAGAATATTCTGATTTTTTTGGTTATTCTCTTAACAAATAGTTATGGGATTGTTTTCTAATAAATGGTCAAACAATAAACTGTTTATGTGAACTTGTACACGAGTTGTAGTTTTTACACACAGAAAAGATTTGTTTTTTTAATACATTCATTTCACAAATATTTTTATGTTACATTATTCATTGACCTTGTCAGATAATTTTATTTATGCAAAGTTCATTTTCGTTGTAAATTCAACATTCTTGTAGATGTTAATTGTTCATAAATTTAAACATTAAATTTGGAAATGATATTTACTACAGTGCACAGTGGTTCACATTAACCTCTTTTGTAAAAATGATTTGTAAAACGTATAAAACCACAAATTATTCAAGAAACCATTTTTTTTAACACATACCAAGTACATAAGGGATGCTGTAAAAGCAATAACATGTATATTAACAAAGTAAATCGAGAGGAAAGGCTGTATAGAAGACAGGGCAATACTTCTGATAAACAGACTTATCTATGCATACATTTATGTCTATTGTTACTGTTGTCCTCATATCTTTTTGTTTGTTAAGTAAATTATTTATACCTACGCTATATGACATTTAAATAAAAATAATAATGTACAGTTGAAATATGCTTTATTGTTTGATTATGATAAATTTCTTGAATCCACTTCCAGCCTCAGAACAATACTTTGAAGATTGATAGGCATTTTTATAACCTGCCTAAGACAGTAGGGGCATTATGTTTACCTGTCTGTGCATTCGTCAGTAAGGATTTAACCAAGATTTTACTGTTCACTTATCAGGTTAAAGTTTTAGTGTAGGGAAGTTTACCATAAAGGTAGTACACATGTTCATCATGGTTTGAAACTTTGTAAAATACTGGGGTATATGCCACATTAAGTGTTTGACCCAGATTTCGAACATTAATTTAACATAGAAATAGACATAACACAAATGAACTAAATTGAAACAAATTTGAATTTTGTGTCGATACAGTATTTAAAGATAAATAAAATCAAAAGTATCCATGAGTGGAAGACTACTGTTCTACATTACATTTTCACTTCTGAAGAAATACTTTCATGTAAAATTCAAGAGAAATATAAAAAAAAAATTTCTTCAAAGGGAGAGAAATTGATTATTATTAAAATTTGGTATCTTTATTTTTGGCATGGAAAGTGAGTGATGTCAGAAAAGACAAATCTATGTGAATTTTTAATGATTGAAGGGACTATCTACAGAAAAAGAAATGGTTTCATTTTTGATGACTTTAAAAAAGAGTGGCGAAAGATCCCAAAGGGATATTCAAGCTCATTAGTAGAAAACAAACTGACAATGCCATGGCAAAAAACAAAAAAGGATGAATAGCCAAACATAAAACACATCATAGAAAACTAAAGACTGAGCAACATGAACCCCACCAAAACAAGTGGGATCTCCGGTGCTACAGAACGGTATGCAGATCCTGCTCCACATGTGGCACCTGTCGTGTTGCTCATGTAAGTACAAACCCGGTGATTAGTCTAATTCTGTAGGACACTTTCGAGGAATAGTGGACAGGAATGTGGCTACAACAATTGGAACATATCCGTCATTATCTGTGAAACATATTCCATAACGGTCAACTTGTGATGATTTTTTGAAGGGATGATTTCAACTTCACTTTGAAAGCTTGGTTCAATAGCTTCCTTGTAAGCAGTAACCCTCTATCAAGGAAATCATGATAGGAAATGCAAGCTCTGTCACGTAATGTTGTCATTTTAGCATTTTTTCATTCCGTTTCTATGTATGTTGGCGTATGTTTTAGTAGCAGTTCGGTGTTTATGTTGTTCCATTGTTTTCCTCTTATAGTTGATGTGTTTTCCTCAGTTTTGGTTTGTGACCCGGATTTGTTTCAGTTTAATCGATTTATGACTATTGAACAGCGGTATACTACTATTGTCTTTATATCGTACCAACTGGGAGATATATACTCCATATGCAGGTGGTGCTGGAATGTTGCTACATAGAAATGGAAAGTTCACAATTGGGAAGCTGAAATCATCTCTTTTGTTTTAAAGTTTTGTTATCAACCTACCCTCATTGTCAATTTCTAGATGTAATGAGGCAGACTTTACTGTATCTGCTGTATCCTTTATTTCAAGTTCGATGGGATAGATGCATTCAACATAGTCGCCAAACTTTGAATTATTTAGTGAGAGGACATCATCATATAGCTGAACGTGAAGCTAAAGGATAATGCTAGCTTCTTTTGATTCTCCCTAAGAAGCTCCTGTATGAAGCCAGCCTCATATGAATAAAGGAAGAAGAGGAGCACAGTTGGTTCCAATGGCAATGCCGAATGTTTGTTAAAAAACACGTCCTTCAAACGTAACAAATATGTTGTCAAGAAATCAAGCATCCTGATAATATCAGTTTCAGGCAATTTTTGAATCAGAGTGATTTTTTTTTACAAAGTACGGTTTATCCCTCCTTAAAACAAGATACTTGTATCTACGTTGGCCATTCTATTTTATGAAACAAAGCAGGACCAACTCTTTCAAATTGTCTTAGTTTGGAATGGAGAATACTTGTAAAGGGTAGAAAAGTCAAATGTTAAAATACTATTGAAGAGAAAACAGACTTAGATTGTAAGATTGTATGTACTCTTGCAGATCTATCGAATTTTTAAGAATCCACAACTGATTCACGCCGTCCCTAAAGTAGGTAGAACCACTATAATTTTGAAGCTCGGCTTTAATTGCTAATAAAATTGATGTTAATGCTTTATAAAGAGGTTTCGTGGAGACTCTGCATTATAACCTTGTTGTAAGGACACTTATGTAATTTAGGTATCCAATACAGTGAAGGAAGATCCAGTTCTTCGTCTTTGGTTGCTATTCAAAGGAACATAGAACAGAATATGATTAATCAGGATTTCCTCCTTGGTAAGTGTCGTGGGGGTATATGTTGTGTTTCCAAATGTATTGTCAATACCTAATTCCTTTATCAAGCAGTTTATGAAATGTGATTTACACACAAAAACGATGTTGTGTGGGGCTTCATCTGCAGGGACAACAACATATTTTTCATGGAGGTAGGACAGGTGCTTAGCAACATTTGGGTCTTTGAACATCGATGTAGCATTTATATTCAGATCCATTCAGTTTTAATTCTGATTTGTATCAGTTAATTAAATCTGTACATTGTCATTTCAAAACTTCTTTGTAAAATGACATACAATTGTTCATATTTTGGAATCTTTGCACAACGAAATAATCATTTAGCAATTGTGTATACTCTAAATGAAATTTCAAGCTATACATTATGAAGAAATTATGAATTTATAAAGAAAAATGTTAGATGATACAGATGGGGTACTAAAAAAAGAACAAGACGAAGAAGGACACATTACAAACACCGTGCTCAAAAAGAAAAAGAAAACACATTCCAAAATCACTACATAGAGAGCTTGAGGTTTAGAACACTTGGGTGCGAAGTAAAAATCTTAAAACTTAAAATAACACTTAATAAATCTGTTGCACCAGAAGCAAATGAGCTATAACCCACCCTATCCAAACATTATATTTTTAATTTGAAAATGTGAAACACTATTTTTATCGTTTAAAAAAATCTAGACCCTTTAGACTGAAAAGAATTATCTACCATGATTCGTTTAACTGACCAACATAGTTCTGGTTTGTTTCTAAATGTAGAACATACACAAAACATTTGCAAACCTGATTTGAATGATTGTTTTGTATCTGTGCATAAATCTCCCAAGGGCCAGATTGACTTGTTTGTCTTTTGATCGTTTTTTGTTTTTTGCCATGACGTTGTCAGTTTGTATTCGACTTTTGAGTTTGATTATCACATTCGTATTTTCCGCCTCTCTTGATCTTTTATCGTTTATACCGTTTCTAAAGCCCCTGAAATCGGAATTAGTATGGCAAGTTGAGTGATCTCATTGTTAAAGGTGACATATAAATGTTACATGATTGTAATATAAGTGTTACTGGAAGCGACTGTCCATGTATATGTTTCTGTATGGTGCTCAGGGGTAACCATTGTCCAAATTCTCCTGCATGCAGTTCCAAAACTGTTTAATCACATGATTGTGACTCACTTGGTGGTTAGTACAATGCTTTTATTTGACGAATACTCCCATTCCTGACAGCTGAGTACTTGATATCCTTTCTCCTTTACTTCCGATTGAAGATCCAATAGGGTTTTACAGCATTTTGGAGCTCGATTGCTAATCAGAAAAGATTTCACTTCTTGGAATCAATAGTCATCACATTTCTCAGGAAGTTTCATGTTCAAACGCCCGTTTTTGTGAAGTCAGAGTTACAGGTTCTATAAAGTACTATAAGATTTTTCAATCTTTCATCATATTTTTCTCATTGTTGCTTTTGGACTCTTCTAGTCTACAGTGACATTATAGGAGGACAGATTTTACATTACAAATAAAAAGAAGGTGAATTTTATTTTCGTTACTTAATAGTCATTAGTTGATTGTTATTTGCTTAGCGCCCAAACGGTCCATTGTCATTGACACGAGTTAAATTATATAGTTTGATTGTAAACTTTCAGTTATGAAATTATGTACATATGTTATTGTATTTAAAGCAATTTCGAAAGTAACTCCTCAATGGGTTTGGCTAAACATTAAACCTCATTTAGATGTAATACTTACACAGAAAAGAGTATTTCAGCTGATAATCGGTTTAAATGTGTACAATTTTAAATACCAATTGGTTATGATTGCTTTATGTAGTAATGAGTTTGTCAGGCTTTGCGCTGATGGTAAGTTTCGTTTAAGGTATCTTATGGGTGGGTTTAAAATTTCTTTTTTACACTGTCTTTTTTCATTTTTTTTTCAATCTGAGATATTTAACTATCAAATTTTTATCGACAGCTACCCTGTCGACGCAAGGATTCACTCCTTTTGGAGTTCATGCGATTCCATTAGTTTTATTTTTTACCTTGATTTGTTTCTTCTTGACATGAATTGTCATTGATATACATGTATATTCATAATTATAAATTTACAGTTTACAAAACGTTGCCTTTTCGAAATACTAAGGATTTTCTACCCCAAGAATACATTATCTTAGCTATACTAGTATTTGACCGAACCCTTTAGGAATTTTGGGTCCTCAATGCGCTTCAACTTCGAAATTCATTTGGTCTTTTTAACTATTTTGATTCGAGCGTCACTGATAAGTCTTTTGTAGACGAAACGCGCGTCTGGCATACAAACCTTTAATTGTGGTATCTACGATGAGTTTACTTAATGGATTTATGAGATTTGAACATCGGTAAACTACTGTTGCCTTTAATTTTTTTGGTAAAACCTGTACATGCATATGCTATGTATATAAATTTCGTAGGTTCGCTATGTCTATATGCCATTTTGTTTTTCTTTGTTGACATATTTGTTTGTTTTTATAGTGATTAAGATTATAACACAATGTTGACTTCTGTACCTCTATTTTTGACATTTTTACCTATTATAAAATTAAAATTGAGAATGGAAATGGGGAATGTGTCAAAGAGACAACAACCCGACCATAGAGCAGACAACAGCCGAAGGCCACCAATGGGTCTTCAATGCAGCGAGAAACTCCCGCACCCGGAGGCGTCCT